TGAGACAACTTGAAATGAACACAATCTACCATAATAAGCAGATAACAGAAAAATATACATTTTTATGAGACAGGGTATTACTTTGTAGCTGGCTGGCCTGGTACTCACTGTGTAGACCTGGCTGGTATCCTGTTTGCAATGGCCTTCCTGTCTCTGCTTCCATAATCTAAACAGTATTATTATTTCCAGGAAGATAAGAGACACATTTGAGATTTTTCTGCAATTCTTTAAAAATTAAAAATAGAATAAGCCAATTCACACACCACTGAGGAAGCTTATAATCATATATGACTTAGCTGAAGAAAGATGTGTTAGAAAAAAAAAAAACACCTAGAGTAAGAAAAAAAAGTGAGGGATACATTAGTCAGACTATAAGACAAGGAGGTATATGGGAAAATGTTTAATTGGAAAAACAGAATTTGGGAAGGACATGCTATTTAAACAAACAATGGATGGGAAAATTTGTAAACTGACAGAGAACATTACATCAGAGATTCAAGAGGACCAACTGACTGGAGGAAGAAAGTGGGGTCCTTTTTTGGCATCTTACAGTAAAACTGCTAAGGCCCAAGAAAAACGGCCACCTTACAAGTAATACAGTAGGATACAGATTGCTCTCAAAATAAACAAGAGTTGAGGGCTAAGAGGATGAGTTTTTGTAAAAATTCTTAGCAGGGAAAGTGAGGAAACCCTCTTCCTTTACCTGATCAGGCTTACCTTTGATAAATGTTTGAAACTATTATATTTAATATATATTTGCGATCAGGAATGCAATTGTGATCTTTGCTATTGACATTCAGCAATTTAGTCAAATTCCCAGGCAGTGTTAGAAAGACTAGAAAAAAAAGATGTAAAACATATTGGGGAAAATTGGAAAGACAAAACTGTTGTTATTCAGATAGGATTTTGAACTGGGAAACCCGTTAAACATTTATAGGTAAAAGTTTAGAATCCATCTCTAAAAGGTGATTATGTAGATAAACATCAATACACCAAAGTCAATTATTTTTCTAACTGTAAAAATAATAGAAACTAAATTAAAAAAACATGTTATTGAAGATAGTGGAATAATATTATCATTGTGTGTTGTTACACAGGCATGTAATTCCAGCTCCTCAGGGGACTGAGGTGGGAGGGATCCCACCTGACAGAGTGAGCTCCAAGCGAAGTTGAGAGACTTAACATGTTTAACAATAAATATTCATGTCTACTCAAAAGCCACAAAAATCACTGGAACAAATTAAAGACATAAATAAATAGGAAGACAAGATGGTTTTAGTGTAGGGGCTTGTCCTGATTAGTTTTTGTGCACCTGACACAAGCTAGAGTTATCAAAAAAAGAGAATCTCGACTGAAAAAAAAACTACCTCCATCAGATTGCCTTTAGGCAAGTCTGTGGGTCATTTTCATGATGTCAGTGTGGACACGGCCGATATTGGAGAGGTGATTCTGGGTGATACAAAAAAGCAGGCTGAGCAAGCCAGGAAGCAGCAGTCCTGTGTGGTCTGTTCCTGCCTCTGAGTTTCTGCCTTTAGCTCCTGCTCCATCTTCTTTCCTTACCAAGTTGCTTTTGGTCATGGCAGTTATCACGGCAGCAGGAGTCCTATTAAGATAGAGTTTATCGAAAAATGATTTCTAAGCCTGATGCAGTGGAGCACACCTGTAATCCCAGCCCTCTGGGAGGCAGAGGCAGGGGGATCACTGTGAGTTCAGTGCCAGCATGATCTACAAAGTGAGTCCAGGACAACCAAGGCTACACAGAGAAACCCTGTCTTGAACAAACAAACAAACAAACAAACAAACAACAAAAACAAAACAGAAAGAGAGAAAGACAAACTGACATATGGATCAAATATGTGGTGGTCTGACTAAAAATGTCCTCCTCATAGGCACATACAGAGTGCCACGACTAGGAAGTGTGTCCTTGCTGGAGTAGATGTGACCTTGTTGGGGGAAGTGTGTCACTGGGGAATAGGCTTTGAGGTTTCAGATGCTCAATCCAGGCCCGTTTTCATTGTCTCTTTCTGCTGTTGGCCAATCCAAATGTAGAACTCTCAGCTCCCCCTTCATCCCCATGACTGCCTGCACTGCCATGATTACCATCATGACAATAACGGACTAAAACTTTGAACTGTAAGTCAGCTCCAATTAAATCCACCCCTTTTTTAAAAAAAATAAGAGTTGCCATGGTCACAGTGTCTCTTCACGGCAATAAAAGCCAAACTAAGACAAAATGCAGTCCTATGAAAATCCCAAATGTGTAGAATTCTATGAGCCAATTTCATCTAAAACGAAGTCAATCTTTGAGAAAGAACAGAGTGAGAAGTTTTCTTAAACTATATTAAGATTTGTTTTTGAAACTTAGCATCACGACAATATGATATTGACAAATATGATAACTAAGCAAATAGAATACTAGATCTGTGGATAGATAGCATTGAAATTTGAAACGGAAGACTATCCTTTCAGTTGAATGTGGTTGTGGTATTATGTATACTAAACAAAAGAAAAATAAAAACTCTTGCTCTATCATCTCATCTTTAAAACAAAATGAAAAACAACAACAACAACAAAAAATCAACCTGAGTAAAATGCCATATTAAATGCTAAAGCTAAATAATTGATTTCTGAAACACATGGGTAAACCTTCTATCCAGGAATTAAAAATGTAATCATGACATAAGATAATTTGGCTATGTTATATTTTAAAACCTGTATTGACCATGACATTCCTGGAAGATCTAAAGCAATGGTTGTCAACTTGTGGGCCATAATCCCCTTTGGGGGAAGAAGCAACTTTTTTTGTAGGGGTTGCGTATCAGTTATACTGCATAGAAGATATTTAAGTTATGATTCATAGCAGTAGCAAAATTACAGTTATGAAGTGCTGATGAAATAAGTTTATGGTTGGGTCACCACAATATGAACTGTATTAAGGGGTCACAGCATTAGGAAGGTTGAAAACCACTGCTCTAAAATGTTAGGCCCTGAGCGGAAGAAGATGCTTTGAAAACTGGAACTAACAAGGAGCTAGCAAACTGAAATACAAAGAGATGTATAATTGAGTTTTTAAAGAGACACATAACTGTGGCTAAAGAGTGCCTCAGTAGGCCAGAACATTGGCTGTTCTTAAGAAGACAAGAACATATGCCCTCTTATGACCTCTGATATCATGAGGCACACACAGGCTGCAAGTATATGCAGACAAAACACCCATACACATAAAATTAATTAATTAATTAATTAAAATATTTTTTAAAAGGAAATCATGAAATTTGCAGGTAAATGATGGGAACTGGAAAGGATCATCCTGAGTGAGCTGTCCCAGAAGCAGAAAGACACCCATGGTATATACTCACTTATATAGACATATAATATAGGATAAACCTACTAAAATCTGTACATCTAAAGAAACTAATCAAGAAGGAGGACCCTGACTAAAACGCTCAATTCCCATCCCAAAAGGCAAAGAGGATGGACATCAGAAGAAGAAGAAAACAGGAAACAACCTAGGAACCTGCCACAGAGGGCCTCTGAAAGGCTCTGCCCTGCAGACTATCAAAGCAGATGCTGAGACTTATGGCCAACTGTTGGGCAATGTGCATGGAATCTTATATAAGAAGTGGGAAATAGTAAGATTTGGAGAGGACAGGAACTCCACAAGGAGAGCAACAGAACCAGAAAATTTGAACACAGGAGTCTTTCCAGAGACTCATACTCCAACCAAGTACCATGCATGGAGATAACCTAGAACCCCTGCACAGATGTAGCCCATGGCAGTTTAGTGTCGAAGTGGGTTCCATAGTAATGGGAAGAGGGACTGCCTCTGACATAATCTGATTGGCCTGCTCTTTGATTACCTCCCCCTGAGGGGGGAGCAGCCTTACCAGGCTACAGAAGATGACAATGCAGCCACTCCTAATGAGATCTGATAGACTAAGATCAGAAGGAAGGAGAGGGGGACCTCCCCTATCAGTGGACTTGGGGAGGGGTATTCGTGAAGAAGGGGGAGGAAAGGTGGCATTAGGTGAGGAGGAGGAAGGGGTTTATGGGAGGATACAAAGTGAATAAAGTGTAATTAATAAAAGTTAAAAAAAAGTGAAAAAGAAAGACCAATAACCAATGATAAAAAATTGGAAGAGATTTGAATTGAGTCCAAATGGAAAATAAACTCAAGTAAACTTCAATGGTTATTTTTTCACGTAAACCACTAAATTAGGTCAACTGTGTGCAAGACATGTCAATCTATCATTCAAAAGCATGCTTAAAAAAACCCAAACCTCTTTTTGATTTTTTTTGAGTTTCACATCATGCACTCCAGTTCTGCTTATCTCCCTGTCTCCTCATATTCACTCTTCATCCTTGCAACCTCCTTTGCAAAATAAGAATTATACGAACAATCCCCCTAAACAAAGCATAGAAAACATCTCATCATAAAAGCTGTAGTATGTCACATGTGTCCCACAGTCTATCCCTCTGTCCACACATCTTCATTTGCACATGTTCATTGCAATGAGTCATTGGTCTGGTTTGAGATCTCTGGCTTCTATGATACCATCAATATTGGATCCTCACTGGGACTCCTCTTGGTTATCCTGTTGTTGCCCTGTGTCATGGAGATCCTGACCTTTGAATCAACAGGACTGGCTTTTTCCCCTCTCCCAGCTGTTTGCAGACGATATAGGTTTGGGGGTGGGCCAATACAGAGCTCTAGATCTGGGCATGCATGGTAGCTGTGTGAGCATCTCCCTTTCTAAGGCTCAAGGTGCTCCACTTCTCTTCCTCTTCCATCTGAACACCTCGTGTACTCAGGCATTGTGGTGGTTCCTGCTGCATGCTGGCCTAGTGGCTCTGTTTGCCCTGCATGGCATGGCAGCAATTGAAGGTCCACAGCCCACCCGTGCCATGCGCTGGAGGGCAGGTCTGTGCTCTGCAGGTCCCTGTCTGTCTTCCTCCTCCCATGCTGCATTGCCTGCTTTTGTTTTGATCTGATTTGATTTTTATGTGTCCTAGGCATAAAACAGCTTTGGCCACCAAGCCAGGCATCAAGCTAGATGAACAAAGAACTGCCATCTGCTCTGCCCCTGACCAATGTAAGAACACCACCACCACCAAAGTTTCTCTTTGCCATTGCGCAGGGGTATGTGTGTGTTAAAGTCAAACCCTACTCCCCAGTATTGCTACAAGATTCTTGAGAATGTTTGTTATGCAAATTCTGATAATACAACCTATGTCAAAGGCTGTGAAGAGTCAGAAAAGCTTATAATGGTGATGGCCACTCTTGCAATGATTTTGGAAGCCGACAGTATTGACTAAAGCTGACCCTCGCATAATGTGACTTCAAAATACCACTGGTATGTGTATGTCTTCCAGTATGTGTGTATACGCACACCAGGGGTACAACACGAATTCTGTAGTTGTGTTAATTAGAGTCAAAGCTCAGAGGGTCTAGTTACCTACCTGTATTCCCATAGGTGCCTACAATGTTGTACTTTGTGTTATTTTCATAGCAAAGAAGTCCAAGTCTTCTGTTACAATGATAACATCGAAAAACACCACAACCACAATGCTGGAATGGAAGCAAGTGCAAAATGATTCCATCTGTATAAAGGTCAATCTCGAACAACCTAAATGACCATGTTTGGGGATGGATAGTTAGATAGTTAAAGAAAAACTCAGGACTGGTCACCACGAAAACTTTGATAGGAGAAGGGGTGGGGCATTTGGAACACTGGGCTGGTAGTTTCTTTTTTTGTTTGTTTGTTTTATCTGATTTTTATTGGACTGTATTGTCCTTTCCCATTTCAAGGGTAGATGAGCAGAAGGGGACAGGTGGAGGATGACTGGGCTTTCTTGGGACAAGAGGTACAGGAAGCAGGAGGTTGGACAGGTACTGTAAAAGGAAAGACAAGGTCCCAGTGGGGGAGGAACTAGCCACACTGCTGACTCTGCAACTTGACAGGCTCAAGTCCAAAGGGCCAAATCCAACCAGACCAGCCACCCTGCTCTTCGTTACCAATGTATTTGCTATATTGTCCCAGAAACCTTTGTCAGTTATAGGGAGAAAAGCAATCTATAACTCCCCCAGCCCCTTTCTTCCCTTTTGGAGGAAAGTCTGTCTGTGTAGTTCCAGCAGCACACTATACCTTTTATAACACATAGTCCCTTGTTTAGAATAATCCCTTGCAAACTTCTTAGGAATGAAAACAACTTTATTTTTCTTCAAATGTATTTGGATAATTGTTGGTACGAATACACAGGTGTTGTTGATAATTAATTTGATACAAGATAAAGTATTTAAAATCTCATCTTTAGAGATTTATTCCCTTTTCTCTTTCTCCTTGTAATCCTAAAACATGGTCAGTTAGGTTGTTAGGGTTTGACCTTTATACAGATGGAATCATTTTGCACTTGTAATATCTTGTAAAGGACTTACAATTTCTATCCATGGCGGTTACAGGGGTACCACAGAGTCTGAAAGTAATCCTTCCTTGATTTTCATAAGGATACTGGGAGAGGGAAGAAACGTTTGGAATCTCATTTGAATCAGCAAAGGTTCTTCCTTCAGGTCAGGGAATTATCCTGAGAAGTTAGAACAGGATTCACTGTTGGATGACAACCTTCCCAGTGAGCTAAAACATATATGCAGTTTCTTCATAGTCTTTGCTCCAGTAGATAAAAATAGAGTGCCCTATTGCTGAGAGAGAAGGGGAGAGAGAGAGAGAGAGAGAGAGAGAGAGAGAGAGGGGGGGGGGGAGAGAGAAAGACACAAAGACAGAGAGACAGACAGGGAGAGCCAGAGAGACTGTGTGTGTGTGTGTGTGTGTGTGTGTGTGTTTGTATTAGGAGGGGGACAAACTTTAGTCATTGATTAATTCTGCTGTGGCAATGTTCACACCCTCTTATTATTTTTAGAGAGCTGCAAAGCTCTCTAAAACAGCTGCAAAGCTTTTTAGTAAAATTAAGATAATGATAATGGCGAAGTTTATTTTTTTCCCTCTTTAGCTCAAGATATCTACAAACACACACCTCATTTTGATTTTGCTGCAACAGCTTCAGTATTTAACAGCGCATTGCCATTAAGTGCACTTAAAACCCACACATATAGTCCAGACCATAGTTAAGATGGTCAGATGTGAATAAGGAGTCTGCCTGTCATATGTGGTTGATAAGTTTTAGCTACGACCATCATGATTAATTTTATTTCTCAGGAAAGCAACTGTTTTCTCCTGGATTTGCTATTGCATTTTCCAAGGCCTCTTGGAAACCACGGCTTCCACACAGCCATGGCCAATCATGACCTGTTTTTGACTTCAGGAAAATGGAGACGTTGGATATTTTCCTTTTTTTTTTTTTTTTTTTTTTTTTGACTCAGGTGTTCTCAGTTCCTGGAGTCCTCAGGCTTTAACCATGAAGCTAGTGACCCCTGGTTGTCCTCAGTGTTTGGTGCTGACATCCTGAGGTGGGGTGGGTGCCCAGGCAGGGGGACAAGGCCTGCTCACTTTTCAAGGGGAATGTTTATTTTGTCATGGGCAGAGGTGGTGGAGGTTAACTTAGTGAAACAGGCCAGATGATCCCTAAGTTGGCCAAAGAACAAAGAGTGTCAAGTATCTGGAAATCCTCCACAGCTCACAGGATGTGGGGCACTTCCTGAAAAGCATGGGCAGAGGTCTGGTTTTCAGGGTATGGTGGCTGCATCTTGGATGAGCACAGTGTGGTTACTATTTCACTGTCTGGGTTTTTGAGACGGAAGCTTGTGGGTTGGAGTCTTGACTGCACCAGTTACCATGGAGCCCCAATAACCTTATTATAAAATGAGACAAGCATTAGACTCATGGAGAACAAGGCAGAATGAGGAAAATGTTCTCATTAAAAAAAAATAATAATAATAAAAGAAAGGAAGAAGGAAAAGAAGAAGAAACCCTCCAAAACAAAGCCTTTTAATAATCCCAGACACCTTCAGGTTCATTCAGGTTTTACTTAGAATTCTCACCAGTTCAAATGAGCTTTTTTTTTTTTTTTTTCTGAGACAGCAACCCTGTCTCCTCACTCCACTCCATCTCTTGCGGAGGGAAAGGAAGGGGATGGAGGGGGAGAATGGAGTAAAGCTAGTTTTAGGATCCCCTGGCTTGCCCGAAGCTGACGGTCCAACCACAGTGTAGGTGATCTCAGGTGGCCCTACAGGCGCAGAAGGGTCTAAGATCAGTTCTGCCCTGACCCACTCAGGTTGGCAGTCGGTCCTCCTAGCCCACGGTGTCACCGGGCCCGCGGGACTCCCGGATTCAGCCTTGCTCCCGCTTGGTCGCCCACCTGGGAAGACGACGTTGGAGCCTCGGGAGCCAGAGAACGAGGTCCCTGAACGGCGGGAGAGTGACGCCAGCGCCCCCGAGCGCCCGGGCCACGCTCAGGGCCCGCCAGGCTGGCGCTCCATCCTCCCCGCCCCCAGCACCGCTCCTCCCGGTCCCCACCCTCCGCGTCCCCACCCTCCTCCTCCGCCCCCGCCCCCGCCCCTCCCCCGCTCCCCGCCCCACCGCGTCCCAGCCGCCCCGGCCGAGGGAGAAGGCGGCCCTGCCACCGCACCTGCAGGGCGCTCGCTGCCTGCACCCGCGCGCCGCGGCTCGCCCCCAGCCCTTCCCCGCTGTGACCGCACGGCCGATGACTCTCTAGACCCCCGGCCGACGACCATGACCACGTCCCTGCAAGATGGGCAGAGAGCCACGGGCCGGGCGACCGCCCAGGACTCGCCGTTGGCCGTGCAGGTGTGCCGCGTTGCCCAGGGCAGGGGCGACGCCCAGGACCAGGCGCGGGTTCCCCGGACGCTGTCGCCCGCCTCCGAGGAGACCCGCCGCGGTGCCGCAGACAGGTAGGCAGCTTCCTGCGGGGGGGAGGGGGGGCGTCCGGGTCTGCAACCCGCGCTGGGGTGAGGAGGGGGCCCGGGGTGTGAGTGTGTGCCCAGAGCCCGACCAAGTTTTGAAAGTGTCTGAAGACAATTCTCCTGGAGCCTGCTCCCAAGGGGTCAGCAGGGCATCGCGATGTCCAGGTGCCCTGTTATAAATAGCATCACGGGGTGGTGGAAAACCGTCAGTCTCACTTTTGCCCTTTGGTGTGAACCAGGAGGCCACACTCCGGACTGACCACACTCAGCTGCTGGATGGCCCTTTTCGTGCTACACTATAGGCTTCAAAAAACCGAGGCTTGAGCGCCTTCACCTCCCACATAGAGGCTTCCAAGGACCCTGGAGAGACAGAGCAGGGATTGACATTTGAGCAATCTTTATGTTCCACAGGAAAGAGCAGAGGCTTTCAAAGGTTTCTCCTCTCCACAGCAATGAGCACTAAATGCCTTCGGAGTTGTCATACTTTAGGAAAGAAACAAGGCGACAACAGCACAAAAATCCGTGGCCCTTTTTGCAGTCACACATATCAGGATTGCAAAGTGCTCTGACTTCAGTCAAGTTAAAATAACTCCCCAGTGGCCTAGCATACATTCATGCGAACACGATCTATTGACTTACCTTCCCAGAAGGACCGCCTTGAGGGTCTGTATCTATAACCGCTTGAAAAATTAACAAACTGTGTGTGGGCAACACTGTGAATGAAATTTGAAGTGAGATGAACCACGTCTATATTTAATAAATCATAACTTCCAGCAGTGATGAGTAAAAATTCCTGGGGGTGAGTTCACTGGATATAACTTACAGATTTTTGTCAATTTAACAGGCGCCAGGCAATGGCGCACTCCTTCGGGTAATGTCTGCATAAATCATGATGTAGCTTGTATTGGTGTTCAGGAAAATCCTAAGTGCAGGAAATGATGTGTCCATGTCTTGTGAGTTTGTGTGTGTGTGTGTGTGTGTGTGTGTGTGTGTGTGGTGTAATTCTTTAGAATTTGTGTGGCTTACTTTATTTTGATTCAGTATATTATATAGCCCTTTCACTGTCCTTGTCCGCTGCTATTGTCACTCACCAGGTGATAACAGGTATCAACTTCAAATTTCAATCTTAATTGGAGGGAGTGGGACAGTGGTACCAGATGATAAGGGGACTGTCTCTTTGTTTGCTTTTAACCGTGTCTTTTCTTACACACATTTCACCAAAGGCTAACCTCATCTTCCAAAGGGAAGTGCTATAAGAAATCAGAGAT